ATATATATCCCCTTTTTATAAAGTTCAAAACGTTTTTTCTGAAATGGTGTTTCACGGTGTCCGCCAAGCTAGTCTTGAACTCCTTTTGCTCAAGTGATCAAAATTTGAGACTACAGATGTGCACCACCATACCCGCCCAGCTAAAACACTTTTATCACTAAATAGCTTGAACCTACAAATATAAATAACTTTTCCAGAAAAGAAGATCCTTATATCCTTTCCCAATCTTCTACTCTTAAAAAACTGAGTTTTAAAGACTAGGTGTGTCAGAACGAAGTAGTCATCTGTACCAGAAAAGGCAAGGAGGTATGGTAGGTAGACCAGCACAGGATGTGAGAGCCCACACAGGACAAAGAAGGAAAACAGAAGCCAAGTGGGAGCTCACATGGAAAGGTGGCCTGTCAGTAGAGACACAGACAAGTCAAATAAGGGAATTACATGTGGATAAGGGAAAAGTCTGTCATGGGCTATCATAGGCTGAGTAGGGATGAAAATTGTATTTCCTTGGGGGAGAAAACAGTGCAGGAAATAAGGGCTTAGTTACACAAAGGAAGATAGCCACATAGACAAATAAATTTAGAATAATGGGAACTAGGTTTTCACTGTTGGAGGAAAAAAAAGAAAGCTACAATAAATTCTGCGATATTGCATCATAATTGGTGGCACTGGTGTGAACTCATTATTATATATAATATAATAACGATAGATGTAGAAATATATATGGGCAGAAATGTATGCTTATAAATATGCTTGTTTATCGAGAGGATCTTGGAGAAACAACCTCCCGATAGCGATGCGCCCTTCTAGCATTCGAGTCTTGGTTTCTAAACATCACTCTCTACTAAAAGGAAACAGAATTCATGGAGCAATGGCTGACTCTAGAACAGGAGTAGGAATTATACATGATGAGCCTATAGCATTTGATAGGGCCAGAAAGTAAAGAAATGCTATGTTAAACACATACATAAATATAAGAATGCTGAGAGGGGTACGGTAAAAGGACCCCAGAGCCTAGTGGCCAAAACTGAAACAACTTCAGCAACTTTCAGTATAGTGGAAAACATGAAATCCATATTGACATGAATAAATAAGCAAATAAATGAGAGAGTAGACAAATC